ATATATATATATATATATATATATATATGATGCATTTCCGTATTGTTGCATACATGAGAATATTTTGGTGTGTACATATACATATATGTTTTTATTTATCTTTGATGTGTATGTGTGTCTGGATGATAGTTTTTTTTTTTATTTTTATTGCGTTCACACTAGAGAGATATTTATATACTTAGAGGGGAAAGAAAAAAAAAAAGTGAAGAAGAGAGTTAGTGAGGTCTACGCCTAGATATGGATTTCAGCATAATTGCTCATATTGTTGTTGTTGTTCTTGTTATTGCTGCTGTCCCCCAAAATACCACCTTGTCTTGAAATCACAAGACTTTGGAGGATATTTGGAAACAGAAGTTGAACTCAACACGTAGAAAATGGAGGGCCCATTACTGTTTTTTTTTTTTTTTTTTGAGTCATCATTGATTTTCAGTTAATTCATGCGGATACATATATATATATATATGTATTTATTCTAATATATATATATATATATATATATATATATCTAATAGGTATGCTATATACACACTGATGTATAATCTATAATATATATTTTTTCTTTTTGGCTTCTTCCTCTTTCTGTTCTTTTGTTTGTTTGTTATTTAATATTGGTCTTTCCCAAACTTAAATATCAGCTGTTTTTCGTTATTGCAGTACAGACAGCCACCAAAAAAAAAGTTAGAGGAAACAAGAAAGGAAGAAAAAAGGTTTCCCCACCATTCGATTTCCTCTGCATTACACTAGAAAAATAAAGAAATAAAAAAGCAGAGAAATAAACAGAAGAACGCAAGGAAAAAGAAGACAAGGGAGTGTGGTAATTATTATTGTATTTTCAACATTCTCTCCTCCTCCTCCTCCTCCTCCACCCAATTAAAGGCCTTTACTTGTTTGTATTAACCAACAACAGCGGAAGGAATACTACTAATAGTATTACTACTAATTGTCATTGTTATTATTACTATTATTACCACTCGAAGAAATGAGTGAATCTGATCTAGAGGGCGGGTCCTTCACCGCAACCACTGCAGCGAAACTACTCCCGCATGTGAACACCAATACAGATACAAATACAGATACAAATACGAATACGGATATCAATATTGCCCCAACTCCGAATAAGGCGGAGCGTGAGTTCACTGCAACGGTACTACTTGGCTTTACAGCAAGGGAAATGTCGCCGTTGGCAAAGCGGCCGGAGGATTATGATTGCAACAGCGAGACGACCAACAGAAATCATATAATGGACTTGGCAACACCGTTGATAACAACAGCAAGTGATTGTCATTACTCCCACTACACACAGGGGGGTGAGAGTGAGAGTGCTCCATCACCGATGCCGACAGCACCTACAGCCAACACAGATGCCTCACCACCGCCTTGTATGCCTGAGGGATATCATTATCATCATCATCGTCATCATAAGAGCCATAATAATAATAATAATAATAATAATAATAATAATAATAACAACAACAATGAGAGTCATCACAAGAGTGAGGGCACCACAGCAGTCGGAGTAACAAGCATTACAACACCAGCAAAGAAAGATAACACAGATACGGAGTCTCCATTACCGTTGCGGGTACCAGATCCATCTCCTATTGCTACAAATACGAATAATGGGTATACTGGTACACCAATGGGATGTGAGGATTGTTCTTCTTTTCGGGAGGAAACAATAATGGAAGAAAGCAGCATCCGACGATCTGCAGCACAGTCCATGTTGGGAACAGGCCCAACGGATCTTTCTCTGCGTTGGGACAGCAGTGCAATGGGACAGACTGTCATGTTGGGACAAAGTGCGATGCGATGGATGCACTCCATGTCACCTTCCATTGCTCCTCCAGTCCCAGTCAGCACTACTCCAATAAACAATAATAATAATAATAATAATAATAATAATAATAATAATAATAATAATAATAATAATAATAATAACAGCAATGAAAACAAGCAGAGGACTGTTAATGATGGGCAGGAGGCCTATTCGGAAAGGACAAGTGAGACAGACAAGAAAGAGATGAGTAAACAGGAATCAAGTGTTGCGGAACCTCCAGCAAATACCATACACGACAGTAAACATCTATGGAAACGTGTACAACTTGTTTCCCTCTCACCCGCTAATGTTCACAGTGAGAGTCCATTGCCGGTGGCGCCTGTTAACACAACGCCTCTGTTATCACCACCCGAGGGAAGTCGCAGTGCTTCTCGACCACAGCGCATCTCCACAACAGACAATACTACTAATACTATGAGTACAGATGGAGGTTACTACCATATCTCCAACTCTGAGGAGAATAAGAATAATAAGAATACCACACATATGAATACAGATGATAACAACAGTGTTTCCTCTGCTTCTGTAATGCCGCAGCGAGAGAAGAGTCCTTCACGGCCTGCGTCTAGTGTACACTCCGCATCTGAGGTCTCATGGCGGATGAATGTTTCACTCATGTCAGGCAGTTTGTCTTTTCGTCCACCTGTTGGGAGTGTAAATACCACAGATCTCCCAAAGGCCTCTCCACTCGCATTCGATGGATCTCTTCAACAAGGGGACACACCAAAGTCTTCCACAAGCACTAATCCCACAACAAAGACAAAGAAGCCAAGACCACGGCATTTGAATAATACACAAGGAATACCAGTAACAGTTGGAGGATCTTCTGCTGCCGCATCCTCCTCTTTGCAATTCTCTACAACCTTCTGTGGACGACGTTCAAGTCTCGTTGGGGGAATTCCACTCTCTCGTGGTGTGTTGGGTCATGCCAGCAGCAGCAACAACAGTAACAACAGTGGGAGTAACAACACTATTTCTACTACTACTACTATTACTACACCAACTAACATGAGCAACAACAGCAGCTTGCGACGCTCTTCTTTGAATGGACAAATCTTTTCAGACCCGCATAACACCAATGCTTTGACACGACAAAAGGGACCCACAACAGTGGTACCTGACACTGGTGTATTTCAACCCTGGTCTCCTCTTACCGTTGATCAAGAGAGTTCAACAACTACAACTACAACTACGAATACTGCAACTGCTACTGCTACTGATATGAACGACTGGGTGCCACTGGGGCACCTTAATGAAACCCCAGTGACGATCAGTGAAATGAGTGACAGTACCATTCAAAAGAGTCTCAATACAGATATTAGTGAGGATGAAAGAAGAAAGAGTGGTGCCCCTCCACGCCCTGAGACAGTAGATCTCGGTTTCAGTGTAAACGAGGATGGTGGATTTTCATTTCGCAGTGTGAATACCATGACCACGATGATGGAGGCAACTCTTCTTGATATGCAATTTCAGGAGGCCTCCATTTCAGTGGCAGCCACATCGCCTGCTTCTGAGGCCTTTCTTGCAAACCACAAGGGAGGAAAACAAACACAACAGCAACAACAAGAAGAGACGACTTCAACGAATGAAGGGAAATACTGTGAAAAAGAAGACTCTCCAGTGCCGGCTGCATTCTCAGACGTGACTGGTGATGCAGTGTGCAATCGTCGTCAACCTTCTCTGCGAAACCGATCACCCTCTCGACTGAATGAAGAGGGAATTGTTTCTGGTAAACAGATGGCTGCTGTTACTATTGCTGATCCTGCTTCTTCTTCTTCTGCTCCTTCCAATGCTGTGGGGGCAACAGATACTCATGCCCAGGCATTGTGAGGGAATAGAAGAGGATATGCCCATTGATGGCAATTCTCTCTATTCTCTCTTTCTCTTTCTCTCTGTAAGTCTGCGAGTGACAACATTGAATAAGAGAGAGAGAGAGAGAGAGAGAGGAAGAGTTGCAATGTTAAGGGAGAGAAACACTGAGCAAAAAAAAAAAGACAAAAAAATAAATTTGTTATTGTTATTATCAGAAAGAGGGTTGGAAGGGTGTGAGGGAACAACAACAACAACAACAAAAAAAAAAAAACAGAGTGAAAGTTAAAAAAAAAAAAGAAGCCTGTATGCTAGAGTTGTTTATGCTTTCTGGGTATTCTATCTTGTACACGGAATAACGTGAAAAAAAAAAGAAGTAAGAGAAAAAAAAAGGAAATTTCTTCCTTTAACTTCACTGTAGATACTGTAGAGATAAAACTGTGTTTAACTTTCGAAAGATAGAAAAAGAAAAAAGGGACATAGGGGAATTCACAAAACCAAGTCTAGAGATATGTCTCCTTCTTGTATATTTTGTTTTGTATATCTGTGAGTATGCTTGTATGCATATACGTATTTACATTTTTTTTTTTTTCTTTCATCCCATTGCCATCACGCCTAACTAGATTTCGTTTAGGCCTTTTTGCTAGATTCTTGTACCACAAACTTTGACTTGTAAGTTCATCAGTCAATCTTGTTTTGTATTTTACTTCATTTTTCATCATTTTTTTTTTCTTTTCATTTCCTCTTTTTATTTCTGTTATTGTTTCCATTCATATGGATGCCATTTTTTTCATTATAATTACTATTATAATTATTATTATTATTATTATTATTCTCTGCCTCACATAAATTATACACTTATACATAATTTTCTGTTTTTTTTTTCTTTTTTTTTTTCTTTTCTTACTTGTTATTGATACTCCTATACAGCTCTCTGCCTTTCCTTAGGTAAACTAGGTTATTATTTGACAGGGCAGAGGTGTGTGTGCGTGTGTGTGTGTGTGTGGCAGGAACCACAACGAGAAGAAGAAAGGAGAAGGAGAAGGAGAACCACAACCACAACAACAACAACGAGCAGCAGAAGAAGAAGAAGAGTAAATGATAGGAGGGAAACCAGCAGCGGCAACCAAACGCGCTTCTGGCACGAAACGGGTTGTAACGGATGGAAAAAAGAAAGGAGATAATGGGAAGAAAGAGAGTAAATGCGCTGCCAATATCTCAACAACGCCACTGAGTACTGCTACTAAACCGACCTCACCAACAGCCTTGCCAGCCACAGTAGTACCCTCTCCGAAACCACCGAGCAAGACGAGCCAGATAAACAGCAAATCCGTTCCCACAAAGAGAAATTCCAATAAAGAGAGGTCCAGTACAGCATCACCATCTTTATTTCCTTCAGAAGGACTGAAAAAGAAGGAAGAAAAAGTGGGAAAATTGCCTAGTAATGGTCTTTCAAGAGAGTCTACTATTTCTAAGAATGCGGTGGATGCCCCAATAGTGGAGGACTTGGAAAGGGCTGAAAGTGTTGGGGGTTTACTTCCATTGCCCCGGCAAAATCGTCAGCCACAGAAGAGACAACCACATCCACCCAAACAGCCAAGGGATCAGAGATCACATGATGGGAAACAACATCTTCCCAGTATCGGAGATGGAGGGGATGCTGCCGTCTCAACACGTGAAGTGGATGCACCTATAGTTGAAGATCTGGAGAGGAATGATAATCTTGTGCAGTTATTGCCACTTCCAGTGCGTGGACAACAGCGACCATCATCGATAGGAGGTAAACCGAAACGGAGAAATCACTCAGGTAGCGCAGTGCAGAGGAGTGAGTCAGCCAATTCAACGCGTTGGAAGAACAACGGCAACGATGCCAGCTGCAACAGCAGCGTTTCTAGCGCCACTAAGAAGAGTTGCACCTGCAATCGAAAGAGTCTATCTTCTTCACCTTCATTCTGTGCTGCTGATGAGGATGATATTATTCTTAATGATGAGGATGATGAAGATGATGATGATGAGGATGATGAAGATGAGGATGATGATTTTGAAAATAGTAGTGATTATGATGATGAGGATGATGAGGATGAGGCTGATGATGAAGAAGAAGAGGAAGAAGAAGAAGATGAGGATGGCGAGGAAGAAGAGGATGAGGATGATGTGGGACCACGGCCTAAACGTTCACCACATTCGATGGAACAAATCACTGTTAAAGTTTCACGAGAGGGGGATCGTAATGTGAAGGTTATGTTCATCACAAAATCAACCAAATTCAAATCCTTTGTAAAAGAGATTATGCGTCGCTTTTCATACTCACGTGTCAGAGACTTTGATATGTACTGTATCGATGCTGCTGGGGACCATGTTGATATTGACGTCCCAGAAGACTTTAAAAGTCTCGTGAGAAACTTTCTTCGCATCCTCCAGCAGGAACACTCTAAGAATGGAGGGAAAACAACAGGAAGTGCCTCCACCACACCGGGATCGGGATCACCATCACTTGATGTAACGCGGCGTTTCTCTGCACGAGAGACGCTGATGGGTAGTGCCTCACTCTTACGCACGAGTTCTCCCATGTATGTAGCGCAGCCTCTCAGTGATGAAGCCGATCGCAGCAGCAGTACAGTACTTCGTTTGTATGTACGAGACTCCTACAGAGCCCGGCAAAAGGAGGAAAAAAGACGAATGCGTTATTCCTTTCCTCACAGTGATGGTTCCGGGCAAATGCCATTGCAATTCCAACCATCCTCTACACCACCACCGGCGTTATTACGAATACAACCGCCTCTCATTGCCCCCGATCTCACATCTGTGGATGCGGGAAGTGTGGGACCCAGTGAGATGTTAATGCGTGACTGCAGTACTATCTCAGCACAGTTTAACCACACAGTGGTTGGTTTAGCCCAGACAATAGGCTTTCGTGAGGATGAAGAGGTACAGTGGAGTAGAATGTGTTTACTTGGAAAAGGTTCCTCTGGGGCTGTGTATGAAGGTATCACGAGTGAGGGAAAAATCATGGCTGTCAAGGTGCAGGAAATTCCACTGGACGAAGATGCAGAGGAGGTAAAAGTCATTCAACGGGAAATAAATCTCATGCGTTCTCTAAAGCATAAGAACATTGTTGCTTATTATGGATGTCAAACAAAAATACTCCCAAATGGGGCGAGGGAATTGGAGATTTTTCTTGAACACTGTCATGGTGGAAGTCTTTCACATCTACGGCGTAAGTTTGAACGGGCAAAAGAGCGTTTTTCCATTTCTCTCGTGCGTACCTATGCACGACAGATATTGGAGGGACTGAACTATCTACACTCTATGAATGTTGTCCACCGTGATTTAAAGAGTGATAATGTTCTCATCTCATCTCTTGGCGAGGCTAAACTCGCAGACTTTGGCTGTAGTAAACGTATTGGTACAGCCACTTTGCAGCAGGAGAGCTGCGGCGAGCGGGGGGCGGGGTATCAAACAATGGTGGGAACACCTCTATTTATGGCACCAGAGGTCCTTAACGGCTCAGATGATACCAACAATAATACTAATAATAATAATAATAATAATAATAATAATAATAATAATAATAATAATAATACTAGCCATGATAATACCAGCACGAATAAGGGAAGTAGTAATCATGGATATGGCAAACCAGCAGATATATGGGCTGTGGGTTGTCTTGTGCTGGAACTCCTCGGTCGCCAGCCGTGGGCAGTGAAGGGCAACGCGAATGCCTTTCAGATTATGTACCACATATCAAAGAGCACAGGCATGCCAACAGGCGTGCCTCAAAAGTGTCCGAAGAGTCTACACAGTTTCTTTACGAGATGCTTCGAAAGAAGTCCAGCGCAACGGGCAACCGCAGAGGAGTTATTGCAGCACGAATGGATAACATGCCCAGATAATCAGTTGGAGGAGGTGTTGCCAGAAGAGGAGTAATGGAAAAGAGAGATGGAGAAGAAGAAGAAAATAAGAGAGAAAAAAGAGGGGGATTCCTCTTCTTTTACTGGCCCACATGCGATGAGGTTGCTGGTTTTAATGAGTGTATAATGAGTATATATATATATATATCTGTGTCTAAGAAAGAGAGAAAGTAAGAGTGAGTAATGGAGTGAGAGTGAGAGTGAGACATAAAGAGGTTAATACACACAGCAGCAGCAGAAGGGAAGAATGGAAGAGAAATGATATAAATAAGAGAAGGAGAGAAAAGGAAAAAGATACAGAATCACTTGACTTCCATCCCCTATCTGTTGTGCGTTTACACTAAAGGAGAAAAGAAATAAGAATTAAAACCAGAGGAGAGCCATAAAGAAAAAAAAAGAAAATAATAATAAAAGTGGGAAAGTGAAAACAAAAGGAACATGAGTCCTGAATACTCTACTACCACTATTATTATTCTTAATATTATTATTATTATTATTGTTATTTTTCTTACTTCTGGTCGAACTGATGCTTTGCTCCCCTCTCTCTCATAAGAGGAAAGAGGGATATATTTCTTTACCGCAGTAATATATATGTACGTCTGCGATTGTAACTGTGTTTGTTTGTTTGTGTATATGTGGGAGGTGATCATCTCCCCCTCTCAAAGTCTGAAGACGGGAAGAAAAAAAAAAGGAAAAGAAAAGAAAAAAAAAATAAAAAAAAAAAGAAAAGAATAAAAAACCCAATAATGAGCGAATGAAGGCGTTAAGAAACAGAGAGAAAAAAGAAAAAAAAGGAAGTAAACACTATTATCATAAGAGAGGAGGCTGTGGACACGGGAGGGAAGAAAATCTTTCCTTTTTGGAGTTTAATTTCTTTTCTGGTCTTCACAGTTAATTTGCTTGTGATGTAAAAAAAGAAAAAAAAAAAAATAAATTGACCGGAAAAGTTTGGCGGTGTTTTTTTTTTTTTTTGTTTTGTTTTTATTTCAGTGTATTTCTCTCTTTTTTTTTTCTCTCCTTTTCTCTTTCTCTCTCTCTCTTTGTTTTTCTTCTGGGGGTGGTTTTTTTTTTTCTCTTTTTTCTTTTTCATTTTTCTTTGTTCGTTTTGTTTTTGTTTCTATACTGGCAATGAATACAAAAGGATTTAAGAATAGCGATAATAAGAGTACGAGAGCTATTTCCTTTTTCTTTTTTTTCTTTTTTTTTTTTTCTTGATTGTTTGCTTTTTTTCTTCTTTTCGTTTTTTTTTTTTTTTTTTTTTTTTTTT